GTTGCCGACGATGCTGAGGGGTTAGAGGTAGTACAAGATGGGGATGGTATGAAAACAGTCCAACTGCCCTTGTTGTGGAAAATCGATCTCTAAGTGCTAGTCGCCTCAAATAACGATCATGTCGCTCTGTAGTCTATCTTTGTCGTCAAGTACCTCATTGACTGCGGCTGGCAGAGCAAGGGAGGATAGGGAACGACAAAGCCGCAGTTCTATCCCATCAGGGCTGATGTAACGTGACGTGCGCCCTTTTTCTAAATTATTTAGTAACTGGCGCGCCACGCTACCGCCAACCCCATTCAGGTGGTTGAAACTTTCACCTCTACCTGCATAGACGCGGCGGCGAAGATAAAAACAATGCCGCGTCTGGAGGGAAGAAGAAAAAGGGAGTTTCATCCCATTGCTTAAAAGCGTGGATATAGCGCTGGGCAGTCAAGCTACCTCGAAAAAATACCAATAGTGGCAATACCACGTCTCATCCTAACTCTTGCGCCCCCACCACGTGTGCCCAAACAAAATCTGGACTCAACGCTGAATACGACTGACTTCCATTCCATATTCCGTTCAAGTTTCTCCCTACTCCATATCAATCGTTGCCGACGATGCTGAGGGGTTAGTGGTAGTACAAGATGGGGATGGTATGAAAACAGTCCAACTGCCCTTGTTGTGGAAAATCCATCTCTAAGTGCTAGTCGCCTCAAATAACGATCCTGTCGCTCTGTAGTCTATCTTTGACGTCAAGTACCTCTAACTTGTCGATTTCGGCCTTCTTGGAACCACGCTGGACACCATCTCATTACACTAGCTTCGTTTCGATTCACCCGATTAGCGATTCCCAGTAGTGGTACAACAGGGGCCTTTATCACTGAAAACGCGATTGCCGGGTTAATCTAAGGTTTAAAAATCCAGAGACAGCTGCAAACCAACTTTTGTCAAGCAACATAAATCGGTAAACCAACTGTTATGTCTACGTTTGTATAAGTATGTCAAACAGCTTTGGGATGACTTTATGAGCTTTAAAAGAGACATATTTTGTTGTAAAGAATCTACTGAACTAGACATCGATTGCGGAACATCCCAAGGCAGTGTCTTAGGACCTTTGATCTTTTTGTTGCTTGTTAATGACCTTCCTTTATATACTAGGTGACATATAAATCCGAACACCCAGTTTAAATGGTTTTATTTTAATAAAAGTTGGTGAATGTACGTATTTATCTTACTGTAAATAACAAGTGAAAAAATTTTCAGCCGTATCAGTTGGACATTCCGGTTTTTATACTGCTTTTTTTTAATTCACTAACGCGCTCTGAAAATGAATATTTCAGCCGCAGTAAAGAATCAACGTTGGCGGATTTTGGTTCTTGACATCCTTTACGATCGGTTACGATGCCTAGAGTACGGAGACCTGTACGATTTCGTCAACTTAGTGAGTTTGATAGAGGCCGTATAGTGGGACTTCGGGAAGCTGGACTTTTTTTTCGGGCAATTGCAGTTAGAGTGCAAAGAAGTGTAGACACTGTGGTTAGGTGTTGTCAGGCATGGCTTCGAGAAGGCCATACGCAAAGAGCAAGGGGCACTGGACGCCGCCGTAGAACAACAGACCGTGAAGATCGCCGCCTAAGATTATTGGCCTTAAGGGACCGTTTCTCCACTACCAGGTCCACTGCAAATGAATGCTTTGCAGAACACGGAAGACCTATTGGCATGCGAAGTGTTTACCGACGAATGAGAAGTTTTGGCTTGTTTTCATACCGGCCACACTGGGTCCTCCCTTTAACTCGAGAACACCGACGTAATCGCCTTGAGTGGTGCAGACAACGGTCATTCTGGGATCAGGAATGGAACAGTATTGTCTCTATACTTGCAAATTTTGAAGGAAATCCTTCAGATGGTACTTATAATAATTTGAAGTAAATGCTTTTGCTTTTGGAGTATAAGTATATCCTTCAAAGCAGTGACATTTATTATAAGCAAAAATTCTAACGCTTGTCTATTGTAAGGCATACTACAGCCACCAGGAATTTTTGGAGGAAAGCTTTTTAAATGTTAATGTGCCTTTTCATACTATCTGTAATATCATACTTATAGGCTTTTAAACTGTCAATATTAATGTGAGTATTTTAGATATGAATGTGTATTTTGAAAGAATTATTTGAAAATTTCGTGTTTACTACTCACTATATCATATTGTCAAGTGGATAAACTTATGACATGTATATACAAACCTGTACCCACAACAGTTGAATAAAAAACTAAACTAAAAGCTAGGCTATTTGTTTGGTTCTAAGAAGTACTTTTCTCCTCATCTCCCAGAGAAGACATAGCCTCGAGTAGGAAGAAACACTAACTCATCATGGCTCAAAAAAGCCGATACCAAAAAGGTGCTTTTGTGATTTCCACGTCATTGAATTAGAATTTACTTTCGATACAGTAGTGAACTTACATTTCCTGGAAATAATCGCAGCTCTGACAAAATTCTCTCCTTCCCCCAGAGATCTGTTTTGCTCGCTACCCTGGGCAGGCCCTGCACGCAAATTTTCCCCGGCCTCCGGCCACCAAGTTTCACAATTACCAGACAAACTTTTGTAGTTAGCGTCTTGCAGACTCTGGTTTATTAACCTTGCCCGCCAAGTACAGGCTCATTCCAGACAATGCTCTTTTAATGTTGTATACTGTTTTTATTTTGAATTACTTCCTGCGAGGACTGCTTGAAACGGCGTTACGCGGCCCGTTTTACAAACTGACGGGGTTTCGGAGAGGAAAACTTTTCGGATTCTTAGGATGAATTGTTTTTTCCGGCGTATTCAAATGACGTACAGTTATTTTAGACAAGGCGAATACTGATTTTTTCATAAACACGATAAAATGAAGGTTCTTTTTTCAAACGCATACCCTTTAATTTTGCTTGAACACTGTAAAAAAGGATGAGGAAACATTTCGTAACTCCATTAGTTGCAGCATTAGATACAATTATGTCAGTTAGGTATGAGAAATCAATACCTTTACCTTTCAGTTTAAACGCTTACCATGATTTTCAATGACAAATGCTACCCCTATTGATGTTTGTATAAAGAGATAACGTCCTTACAAAAGATATTAGTAATAAAGGGTATTTTCTTTCATGTACGCTGAAAAGAGAGCCTGAGGAAAAACTGGGGTGAAAGTACAAGTGTCCCTTCCGCAAACAGGGTGGGAGTTACTCCCTAATCAGGCCTCTACAAACATTGACATTGAAGCACCTAACAGTGTTGCCACATTGCATCCGGAAGCATATGAATCAAGAACACACAAGAATATACAGAGTGTCCGTAAAACTTGGACTTTATACCGCGTAGTATAGACATTGAAAAAATAAGCATCAGCATCAGCAAAATCAATCAAACCTAAACCAAATGTAAACAAAAAGTATGGTTTTAAAAAGGTATATTTTGTCTGCAAGTGCTCACTTGATATATATGACTATTTAAGGTAAAATCATCTTTGTTTAAAAAAGTATAGATAGCCATATTATGGAGAAAAAGCGAAGGCAGTGTCATTATTTTCAACCTCTCGAATAATTCTCTGTAACTATGGTCCTAAGGTTCTTGAACAGATATACTTGTGAATTGAGTTTAGATGACAGATAATTGCAAAGTTGTGGCATTGGTCTGAATACAGTTGCAAAAGCTTAGTCTTTTATCACTCTGCAGTGCTGAATCGTTTATAAATAAACAGAAGCGCTGCTGTCGACTTCTAAACGTTATGAAACGTTTTACAGTTATTTATTAAATTCAGCGCGTATTTTTCAGATATAATGGTGGAGGCATCATCTGCAAACAACGTGAAGTGTGCTCCGGGGAAACATTGCTCCAGGTTATTTATATAAAGGCAAAATAACACCGGCCCCAGAATAGATCCTTGTGGTACTCCTATATCTATGTAAACCATACCCAAGTTGATCTGTTTCAGTTGACCAGCGTGCCATATATTGTGACCTATTCTGTAAGTACGAATTTTCAGCTACACGATATTAAATACGAGCTCATATGGATCTTCATAACATGGGGAATTAAATCCTTAAATACCAGCAAGTTATTAAAACTCACCCAGTATTTGGCAACCCCGGGATCCACTCCGCCAGAGCCGCTGAGTATTTGTCAATAAACGTTTTAATATCTGTGCGTCTATCTAAATCCTTAAGGTAAACGAGAAAAGTTAATCTCTCTAAGCGAGGCAGGACCCCCAAGACGACAAATAGGGGGGAGGATGTAATTTAGATCTGCCCGGTGGTCTATTTACTGTTTTCGACTACAAATTGGAGTGACATTTTTCAAGCAACTTCTGAAAATGGAGTCAAGGAGACCGACCCCAAGCAATCAAATAGGTAGAGGAAAATGCTCAAAATAAAATCTGTATTTTGTTAAGTATTACGCTTTAATTGTATTATTAAGACAAATATAGGTCATCTCAATTGTTAAAGTCCATCAATTAGTTTGGGTTGTTGTCCGTGGAATAGGAATTTCAATTTGAAAGCCAGCCATTTTCATCAAACTGTTCGAACTACGACACATGAAACAGAATTCTTCTTGTACACATGCATATACTAACTGTCATAGAAAATGCAACACCGTCTAGCAGTGCTGTAATTTTGAACATACTTTTACAAGTTTTAGGTCTGCTAATAAATAGAAAGCGACTAACATATTGGACATGGAGGTACCACGTATTTTTAGACTCAATGATTCGCCTCTATGCAAAAGAAGAGCGTCAAGGTTTCATTTTTGAACACACAGATATTTTTGGATTGATTTGAATAAAATTTAGAACACAAAACATACGCGTTATTTGTATGTACATGAAATATTGGGATACCTTGTAAACAGGGTGTCCCAAAGAAAACGGGAAGTAGTGTAATAAAAAAAATATTAAATACAGCAGACGCTCGATAACGTAAACGCGGGATAATGAAAACTTGCGCTAATGTAAACACGTTCTATAGGATCAAACGGAACGCGCGATAACGTAAACAAAAACTTAAAAAAATGCGAAGGCACCTAAAATGGAAAATTCCCTGTATAAGTGGTTTTTAAAACAACGGGAAAATCATGTCCCAGTTAGTGGCGAAGTACTTAAACAGAGAGCGAGACTGTTAAATGAAAAAATGAAAGAAACTGAAAATTTCGTAGCTAGTGATGGCTGGCTAGAACGATTCAAAACAAGATATGGAATTCGACTGCTGTCTATATCCGGTGAAAAATTATCAGCCCAACCACAATTAGTGCAACCATTCAAAGAAAAATTGATGAAAACAATTACCGAGCTAGATTTAAGAATGGAACAAATTTACAACGCAGATGTAAGTGGCCTTTATTGGAAAATGTTACCAGAGAAAACCTATACTGCATCATTTGAAAAATCTGCCCCGGGAAGAAAGCCGGAGAACCAGCGAATAACGTTTCTAGCCTGCACTAATGCTAATGGTTCACACAAAATAAAGCCACTGGTAATTCGGAAAGCAAAAAATCCGCGCTCATTTAAAAATGTTAATATCCCGCTTGGATGACTAGCAGTATATTCCTGAAATGGTTCCACAGGTGCTTTGTCCCTGAGATATGACAATCAATTATCACAATATATTCATAATTTGAAGATGTGTTTTCAATTTGTAGGTAAAAGGTTTCCTAAAACAACATAAGCTTCCAATAAAAGCGTTGTTACTATTGGATAATGCACCAAGTCATCCTCCCGAGCAACAACTGAGGAGCAGGGATGGGTCAATTTTCGTCATGTACATGCCGCCCAACGTAACACCGTTAATTCAACCGATGGACCAGAATATATTAAGACTCACCAAACTATACTATAAGAAGTTTCTACTTTGTCTTATCAAAGAATCCTGAAAACTTATCTGAAGATTTAAAAAAAGTAACATTACGAGAAGCTGTTTTAGATTTACAAAAGGCCTGGAATGAACTTAACCAGCAAACTATTAAAAAATGTTGGAACAATCTCTTTTGTACCAATAATGAAGATGATGAAGAAGACGATGTCCCCTTAAGCGTAATTAGAGAACGTTTGCGATCCAATAACGATAATGTTATTAGTGTGTCATTGGATGTTGTTGATTTATTGAAAACAGTGAATCCCAACATTGTTTGTACTCCTGCTGATATTAATTTATGGAACGAAGATAAGCAGACGAATGAAGCTGATAAGGAGGAGAATATGGACAGTGAGGATGATGAGAACGATCACATTGAAGTCAGAAGTGTAGTGACTGACGCGCAAGCTATACAAGTTTTTAACCAAGCTTTAGATTGGGCTGAAAGAAAAGAAGTTTCATACACGGATATTTTAGTTCTTCGTAAATTACGGGCGCAGGCATTGGAAGACAATGCTAAGCGCAAATTTACGCAGACAAAAATTGTTAATTATTTTTCTTCTAATTAAAAAAATACTTATCGCTGTTAGAATATTTGTTTATTTTGTTATAAACAGTATGTATTGAACGTTTGTTTTAATAAATCAAATATTATATAATAATGTCATACTTCGTCACCAAGATATGTACGATTTTTTACTATTATACTTCTGTGGGCAATGTCCCGTTATCCAAAATGTATGTTCCCGAGCAAGCGAGCATACTTTCAATTTTCCCATTGAATGCCGCGAAAAGAATGCACCGAACTTCCGTATTTTTTGCCGCGAAACTTCGTTGACTTTAAACTTGTGCTTTATAGAGTTCACTTGCTCGGCGGTCGACCAAGTTGAAATAAATACAAAAACATTTTTCCGCACGAACAGTTACAAATGAGAGATTCGCCAAAGTGCGCCAATAAATTGCTTCTTGGTCTGGATCTGGAACAGACAACTTTAAACTATCGTCGGCTGGCTGGCGAGCAGTTGCGGCAAAAAGAGCTCGCTATTGTTCGGATACGAGAGTTCTGCTTTACACGCAGGTGATGTTGCGAGGTTTTTAAGGATTGTATACAGCACGACAAAGAACAACGTGTGACCTAACAGATTCAACGTACAAGAAAACAGTTCATGTTTATAAACGATCTTTAAATTACCCTTGAAGTACATTTTTCTTACCGAACACCGAGCCACAGCATGAATTTAATTAACGAAAATATTTTATATATTATCGATTCTGTTGTCATAATCCCGATATTGACCTATACAGGGTGTTTCAGTTTATTGTTGCATAACTTTAAGATTCGATAGAACCTTTAAAATTAATGCATAAAGTCTATATAAACATGGGTCGAAAAATGCGTGACTTCCGAAATACAGGGTGTTTAAATTTACATTCTAAAATAGTTTTTTTTAAATATATCGAATAATATTTGATGTATAACAGTGAAAATTGGCATACAAGGGTTTTTTGGTACGACAAAACGAACCATGGGCATAGTTTTTTGTAGCCGCTAAAGGGCGCCCTCTACTGTGCCTGTAGTGTATTAAAATGACCGAAATTTTTTTCTTAGTGCAATTTTTTGCTTTTTGAATAAAAAACTGATTCTTCGCACTTTTCAACACAAAAAAGCTTTCTTGTAAATTTTCGTTATAGTTAGCCGTTTTTGAGATATTTCGATTTTTAAGGTTCGATGCATTTTTAAATATTTATGATAAAATAACGTTAAAATTCAGTATCTCGATAACTTTCAGAAGTAGGCTGTGCATGCAAATATTTTTGAAATTGAAAGCAGAATAAGGTTAAACGTCAATTAGTTGACAGTTAGTTTTGTTGTCTGTTGAAACCTGAAACGTTTTTTTGCAATTGTGAATGCACGAAATTTAGTTTCTTTTACCTGTTTTATAAAAATGCCATTTTTATTCTCCAATCAAGAGTTAGCGGATATCCATTTTGTGTATGGCTTTGTAAATGGAAACACAGCAGAAGCAGCCAGAGAATACGCACGAAGATTTCCAAACAGACGACATCCAACTCGCTCAGTATTTGTAAGAGTGCATCGCCAAATAATTGAAAATGGTTTTGGAAATCTCCATAAGGATCAAAACATAAATGTTCGTCAGCGCAAATTTACCCGTATGATTCTGCGTGAGTTTGATAGAGATCCGACCACAACTGTTAGGAGAGTTTCTGGTGCCTTGGGAATTTCAGCAAGCCATGTTCTTAGAAATGACCATAGAAGTCCTTACCATTTGCAACCTGTACCAGGACTACAGCCAGGGGACGGAGAACGAAGAATCACATTTTGTCAGTGGATTCTTGATAGAATTGATAATAATAGGGAGTTTTTAAGTAACGTTTTATGGACCGATGAGTCATGCTTCACTAGACGTGGAGTGGTAAATGTTCATAATCAACATATTTGGTCGCATGAAAATCCGCATGCAGTTCGGGAAAGAAATTTTCAGCATGAATTTAGTATGAACGTGTGGATTGGTATCTACCGTAATCGACCTTTTGCTTGCAAGGTTAAATGCTGCGACCTTCTTGGAATTTTTAAAGGTTGAACATGCAAATATGTGGGATGATGTTATGTTATATTTAAGAAGATTGGCCTGGTTCCAGCTTGATGGTTGTCCAGCTCATTATTCGAGAATAGTTAGAAACTGGCTGGACGAAAATTATCCAGAAAGATGGAACGGCCGTGGAGGACCAGTCGCCTGGCCTCCACGATCCCCTGACCTAAATCCATTAGATTTCTTTGTGTGGGGATTTCTAAAAGAAAAAGTGTACCAGACTCCCGTAACCACAAGAGATATGCTAGTAGACAGAATCAGGGATGCATGTGATGCAATAAGGCCTTATTTGAATAATGCTATACCACGTTCGATCATTCGTAGATGTGAATTGTACATGTTAACGTGATTTTTTGTCAGACTTGTGTCTCCCTCGAAAACAAAATCGACGGGTCTGAGCGTTTTTCCAAAAAAAACTGAGCTGCCAGTAAATGCGTCTGTTTCGTTTTCGATGCGCCACCCTGTATAAGGTACACAGCATACAAAACAGCAATGCAATTGACAACTCTACACGTAGCAACTACAAACGAACACACAAAAGGCACAGCAAAGATAAGCCAACCAGTTCAGTCAAAGCGTGTGCACGTGCCGTAAAAACGCTCCGGCTGCGGACCGGCTCTTTAACAAAGGCGCTTTTCAATGATTCACTGCGCCCATTATCAATGACTACTGGCAGCGAAGGGCCTTATCACACCGCAAACCCATTCGCACCGCTGATCATTCCACGGCCAACGTTGATGATGAATTTAATCAACTGTATGTAACAAATGTACCGAACGTATTATCATGACTATTCATGAAAACTTGCCAGATTTTGTTTGTGTGCGAGGCCTGTGCGTGACAGTGCAGCTATACTGTTGGACAAAAGTGAATGAAACGTATACCGGATAATTTTGCTTGACACAATTGTAGTTAAAGTTTTATGTACCTAGATCAGTTTTGTTCTATAATATCCGAGACGTGAAATTAAGTGTCAGCTGTGTTAAGAAACTAGTTATCTTATACCAAGTTTGGAAAGATTTTCAAAAAAATGCAAGCAAAACACAAGAAGAGATTGAGCAACGTCGACAGGAGTTTGTTACGAACTTGTACAATCTTTTCTTTTTACTATTTTGACCACTTACGAGTAATTTATTGATTATACAGTGCCCATTCCCAAATCCTTTTCAATGATTTTATTTTGGTAAATTTCATAGTTTACTGATGGTAGAATTTCACACGTATTATATCTGTCATTCTCAGCGACTCAGTAATGTATTGAAATCTTTCTTCTATCTGAGAAATTTCCTCATAAAATATTGTTGGTCCCTCGTAGAAAGATTTGTTTCTGCCGTCGTTCTGCCCAGTGGCAACCAGCGCGCCTCCTTGTGACTTTACACGTACTAGCAGTATAGGGACATTTCGTTCTATCAACATACCTTCTTCAAGGCCATTCATTTAACCATCTTTTAATGTTTACTTCCTATCAAGATAAGTTCTGTTAAAGTTTGATTTACTATCAAGTTACCTTTTTTATTACGGTCTATTAATTTTATTGTCAGGTAGTTTTTAATAACATCTATTCTTTTAATTTGCATTCCAGCGGCGGAGCATATGTGCTGCTTGTTTTGGCAATATATATCCGAACACCCAGTTTAAATGGTTTTATTTTAATAAAAGTTGGTGAATGTATTTATCTTACTGTAAATAACAAGTGGAAAAATTTTCAGCCTTATCAGTTGGACATTCCCGTTTTTATACTGCTTTTTTTTAATTCACTAACGCTCTAAAAATGAATATTTCAGCCGCAGTAAAGAATCAACGTTGGCGGATTTTGGTTCTTGACATCCTTTACGATCGGTTACGATGCCTAGAGTACGTAGACCTGTACGATTTCGTCAACTTAGTGAGTTTGATAGTGGCCGTATAGTGGGACTTCGGGAAGCTGGACTTTCTTTTCGGGCAATTGCAGTTAGAGTGCAAAGAAGTGTGACACTGTGGTTAGGTGTTGTCAGGCATGGCTTCGAGAAG